GCAGGGTAGCATGGCAATCAGTAATACAACCTAAGACTAGAGGAGGATTGGGCACCATTGATCCCTCTTTACAAGTTATGGCCTTATCGATTGAATGGATTAAACGCCTACTTTTTAACCCCCAAACCCCGTGGAGTGTGTTGGCATGGGAATAAATCAGAAGGCTTGCTCCGAAAACACCTGGCAACATAGATCCAATGATGTGGTTGAAAAATAGATATTGGACTATTCAAAGAGGGACAGTGAACGAGCCAATAGATCAAAGTATATCAGATAGAAAGGCGACAAAAGCAGACTTACAGAAGGATTTTTTTTGTCTAATCTCAGCAAAACATGAAAGAAATTACCATTAATAGATCGAGTTCCCCCTGACAGATGGGAAGAGGTATGTCAACAATCAATCTTTAATAACAGTCTTCTCAAAGATCCTCAAGGATGTGTCCACTGTGAGGACTCCCCCTGGAAAGGGTGGGTTAAAAATGGTATTGTTAGAATAAAAGATATTTGGAACAGTGAAGAAAAAGAATGATTTACTCTCTCTCAATTACAAGCCCACCTTAGATATTGTCATCATTCTGAGAAAGCATTGGAGAATTTGATTGACTGGATGTCTTTGGATTGGGTAAGAATTAAAAAAAAAGGTCCTCAGTTATTAGAAGGAAATTGGGTTGCTTTGATTGATCAGTCAAACATCGTAGGTAGTGTGGTAGTAACTCAGGAAAATGGGGAGATACTCCTTACTACCTATGAAATGGATAACAATCAAATGGTTAAAATAAAGGACCAGAATAATATAAAGAGAGTGACAAATATCAAGTATTCAAGATTAGGGTGGTAATGGTAAAAAATAAATGGATAGTTTTTAAACCTGATACACCCATAAATCGTTTGCCCTTTGATCCTGTCAACTGGAAGTGGACTAATACAGGAAGGAAAGGAAGAATGTACTTGTGTGCTCTTCACACTCTGTCAGTGAAATGCTTAGACCAATTTTTTTTTAAAAAGATAAGGTAGAGGAAAGATGGATGAAGCATTTCAATATTAATAAGGAATTATTAAGAAAAGTAAAATGGTTCAGTAAGACCAAAATTAAACCTGAAAAAGTGGCTTCACTACAATGGCAAATAGAACATAGATGTCTTCCTACAAATGACTGGCTAATAGATAGGACAACATTGGAACAAAGAGGGAAAGCGCTCCCCTGTTGTAAATTTTGTAAATCTGCGTTCCCTTCTAAGTTAATTCCAAAAACAATTGAGGATATATTCTTACAATGTCCTCTGGCAATCTGGCTATGGAGGTGGTGGGATCGTATTTGGTCTAATTTGGAAACAGAAGTCCAGTGGTCATGGGACTAGAGAGCTATCCTTCTTGAAACTTGGGCTCCTGATAGTATTGATGAATTCTCACAAAATTTGTATAATCTGGGAAGGAGAGGGGTATTATGGGCAGTATGGTTAAGAAGATGTACGTATGAAATGGAAGGAGTGAGACTAGAAGGACCAGAATTTACTGACATGGTCAAGCAACAAATACAAACGGATATCAATATAAAATGGGTACAAGCTAAATAAAAAATACAATTTATCCTCACGGAAAGAAATCTGCCAGCATATTCAACGGTTCAACCAATGCTGGCTAGGAGGAACCCAGGGAGGGAGGATGGGGAGCGTTGAATGGGAAGGGGCAAGGAGAGGAGAAGAGGATAATCTGAATAGGGACTATAAGCTTGTTTTTAATGATTGGACTATGATTAACCCAGCAATCCCGTTACGACCAATGTCAGAATTCCCAGATCCCTTTCCTCCCTCGGCTCTAAGTCTTGTCCCAAGAGCCTGGTTTGGGTATGAATGAAGATGAATGGTAGGAAAAAATGGTATTTAGATTTCTAATGGTTGTAAAGATTTATAGATAAGAAGGGAGTAGTGCTAGAATGATGATTGTTAGATCTGGCGCCCTATTGGGGTGAAGAGGCACAACTCACCTTAACTTTATGATTCAGGCACCCCACTCTTTTATATCATTCATGTATTTAAGGGACGCTGGACCCGGTTTCCAGCACATGTCGCTCATTCATGTATTTAAAGGGATGCTGGACCCGCTTTCCAGCAGGTGTTGCTTCCCACCAATAGATGGAGCGGTATTAAAAAAAAAAAAAAAAAAAGATTTTTCTAGTAGTTCCTTGGCTCATTTTCATGGAATTTTCCGATGAAGTTTTCTGAATGTACTCGTTATGGGATGCTGGGCCCGGTTCACAGTTTGTGCCAATTTGTGAGGATATGGTTGTATCTATGGGACGCTGGACCCGGTTTCCAGCAGGTGCTGCTCCCCACCAATAGATGGAGCCTTTTTCCAAAAAAAAAAAAAAAAAAAAGAGCTCGTTGCCACACAACAGGGTGCTTGATCAGTGGACTGCCATTCGAATTCCAATTTCACAGCTCCCTCTCCCCCTCTCCCCCCCCCCCTCTTTCTACGGTAAAAGTAGTGCTATTTCACCTGCGCCGTAAAGCTCCCCTTTATTCTACACCTCTCAAGTCATTTCATAGAGTCGAACTATATAGTCAAGCACAACAGGGTCTTCTTACGTTCACAGCTTTCGAGCCCGTATCACAAAATAGGTGAAGCGAAGCAAACGAACGGAAAGCGCGCGCGCACGCACGCCAGTGGTGAGAGCCTGGCTGACTGGATATGCACAATGGGTTGTGATGGACTACCGTTTTCCCCCAAACCACAACGCCACCTTCATCATGAACGTATACAAGCTATCCTTCCAGCCCCATGCAGGGTGGGTTGTGTTCGCGGACCGAGGGTGGTTTTCTTAACTTCCGTTACTTACCCCGGTCTGACCTAGACACGCTGACACGCTGACACGCTGCCAGGATTGCAGAGCTACGTGAGTAAGGGCCTGGTTCGACACCACTTGAAAATACTTGAGTTTCAAGGGCACCCTAACTCACCGAGGGTGATTCAGTTCCCCCAACTCGTTTTTTCGTTCCACAAAACCAACCACTTCTCGCAGAGAGTTTCATTGCACAGAACATCTCTTCCCTATCATCATTCCCCCCCCTCGTGACAAACAAGGTGGACTGGAATAACGTGGGCTCGAACTACAGCCTTCCCCCGAATACAAGGTTCGGTCATTTATAGCTGAAATTGGGGTATCTGTCAGCCTAAATACAGCTATAATGACCATACGTTGTATTCGGGGGGAAGAAGGGTACGTAGCCGAGAAGCGTTGGAGCATAGCCAGCGGCACCTTGCTGCTCTTCATCATTTGTCTACTACATCATTTATCTAGTACATCTTTTATCTAGTACATCATGTATCCACTACATAATTTTTCTAGTACATGTTTGTTTTCAGAATCAGCGCGAGTTGTGGAGCAAAACGTAAAGAGTCAATTTCAATAGGAAGAAAAAAACAGAAAAAACAAAAAGAGTCGATCATGTCAGTTTCTCTCTTGCCCTGCTTGGGTTTCCCCCCCCCCATCTCTCAAGACGCGATATGGCTCAGGTACTGGTAGTCGGCATGTGCAGGGCAGGGCAGGGCAGGGCAGGGCAGAGTGAGATGAGATCTTGCATGGAGCGGGGTTGATGCTCCTCGGATGGGGAAGCAATCAACGGCCTTGTCCAGGCTATACTCGGGGGCAAGGTCCCACTAGCAAACAGGATTGGATTGAAGGTCTGAATCTGGACGTGTTTGCGGAGAGGTGCACAAACTCACCATAGATCTGCTGCTCTGCATTTCTGTGTAAAACACGTCCAGATTCAGGCCGTTAATCCAAACCGCTTTGCAAGTGGGACCTCGGCCGGGGTTACATAGGGAAACAGCTGTCTCCGCGGGAGCAGTGGCTGAGGCTCTTCCAGCCCTAATGGGAAGAGGCGTGTGTTCGCTCTGTATTCAATCTGATAATTTGAGCCTTGGCCAAAAAAAAATTAAAAAAAATCAGTGCCAGTCCTGTCGTCGACAGTTCCTGTGGGACGAATGTTTTTTTAAGTCCTGTGGAGGGAAGGATTTCTGCAGCGTGTGCTATTCTTCGACTTCATAATCGTAGATTATGCCAATTTAAATGTCGGTGGTATTCTCTCTTTATGCACATTTCACACCCTTTTTTTCTTTTTGTTTGGTGTTTTATTTATCAAATACGCAACACACTACGCCATACGCTACGCAACAAACCTCTCAACACACACACACACACACACACACACACACACACACACACACACACGCAC